GGCGACAAATTTTGTATTTCCCATCACTTTCAGTTAGAAACAAATAGAGCGGGTGACGCTCCTCAGAGCGTACAAAGGCAGTAATAAAAACCTGACAGGGGTTCTAATCCTTTTCTACTCTATCCAGAACTAAAAAACACACAGTTTTAGCTTCAGACACACTTTAGTAAACACGGTTTATAAGATTTAGCATTTCCTGTATCAAGCCTTGTAGTTGGATTTGCAGTTTATTTAGACAACATAAATTGAACTATTTTCTATGAAAACATTCTCTGTCATCGCAGGAATGGCATCAATTATTTAGCGATTGTTTTTTCAGTGTCACAAGCAGAAATGAGGTATCTTGCTGCGATTGAATTATCGTCAGCTTAGCAGAGAGAGAGGAGCGAGGATGTCTCCAGCGACACCTTGTGCGCTAATGTGCGGAGGGCTTCCTTGGATGACATGAGAACACTACTTACCCTAATGTGAGAACAGAGGCAGACGTGTGAAGTGTGTAACATTTCCATGTCAAGGTGTCTCTGCTCTACACGAGCTGTTGACAGAGCACTAGACGTGTGACTAATGGCGCTGTCTTGTATCCCGCAAGCCTTGCTAATGAGCTTATAATTAATGTAAAGAAGATTGTTGTGTGTGAAGTAACACTCTGTACTATGAAAAAGTGGTTCTCTTCTCCCGGGATCGTCTAGGACCTGGGGATCCTTCCGCATGAATTAAAATCAATTAACATGGAAGACTCCCTGCCTTTCTAGCCTAAAGGAGACCTGTGCTGTCATTGTTAACTTCCTCCCTGAAAATGCTAGTTGTGTGGCTGTCTTGTTGGTCCTATGAAAATACAACCTCCCCCATGTTATGGAGAAGAGGAGAGAGGGAGGTATTTATAGTCCTAGTGTGACAATCTGCACTTCCATAGATACAGTACAGTAAGGGTTGTCACCCTAGGACAGGAAGTGTGTTAGGCCTCATTTACACTTGCTTCAAAATGTGGCATTTGACACACTTTTTTAAAGTCCTGTTCACACTGTTGTGTTTGCTCTGCTTAAAAAAATACACCCCATGTCACTTTCTTGGTGCTCCAAAGCATCTCCAAAGCCTCCATTGGCAAAGCTTGCTAACAGCACCTTCAGTTTTTGAGAGGCTTTTATTAAGAGTTAGGTTTGTTTTGTTTTGGAGGTATGAGATATCCCAGGATGCACTGGGAAACCAACAAGAAAACCAGAAAGACGTCAACAGAAGTCACTTCCGGTTTATGTGTATATATTTTGGGAGTGTCTGGGGCAGGCGTCACATCTGGTGTGGAGCAGGAAGCAACAGAAAAATTAACAGGGTCCAGGTTGGAGCAGAGATACTAACTACAGAGATACTACAGACGGCACACGTGGTGTGCAACATGGGAACGCTATAGAGGACGTTGAGCGGGAACCAGAGAGAGCAGCGAAGAATCAGCAGAGCTGGACCGAAGAAGGAGAAACTAGCAGATGTCATACGTGGTGCACAGCATGGGAGCAGTATAGCGGGAGGTGAGTGTGGGGACCAGGGACAAAGGAGGATCAGTAAACCAGAGGATCAGCAGAGCTGGGGGTTACTAATGAGCAGGGGATTAGCAAAGCTGGGGATACTAGTGAGTGGGGTATCAGCAGAGCTGCGGGTACCAGTGAGTAGGGGATCAGCAAAACTGGCAGTACTACTGAGTGGGGCATTAGCAGAGCTGGGGATCTAATGAACAAGACTACTAATAAGTTGGGGATCTGCTGAAGGGAGGTGCCGTGTCAACAGGAACTGGCGGCCCCCAGAAGTTATCCCTGCAGGAATTTTAAAAGCCTGGATTTGTTGGCACAAGGACTAATGAAAGTTATTTCTTACTACTTGGACAAGGTAAAAAAATAAAGTAATGCTGGGACATGATCTAGAAGATGAAAGGGAGGTTTGGGGATACATTTGGGTCACGTCTATACATATGTTTAAAACAGCAGTCCAGATTTCCTGCCAATTTAAATTGTTTATTTCGGCTAATCATGCTTATTCCATAACTTATTTATTCAGCAGCTGTGAGCGCTGTATCGTACAGCAGTAGCATCAGCTACAGTAAGCAGTTCTGTGTTCTGGCAGCAGTACAGGTGACTTCCGGTCTACTGTTGGAGCAAATGCAAAGTGATTCTCAGCCATTCAGAGAAGGCAGGCAGGTTCCGACTGGGACAAAAAATAGGCCCGGGAATTTTGGACTGAGCAGCCCCAAGCCCGGGGACCCTTTCCTCGGAGCCTGGTGGCAGAAGGCCAGGGCTTGGTCGCAAGAGTGACCTTTGTGACCCTGGTAGTTCCGCCACTAGTGTCAGTAGGTTTTTATGTTTATTTAATTTTTTACTATTTTATATTTTATTACATTATTTTGTAGGAGAGAAAGAAGATAGAGAGAGAGAGAGAAAGGAGGAAGGGGGGACAGAAGACACAAGGCTGGCGGGGAGTGTGCGCAGGGCAGACACAGGAGGACAGGGAGGGAGGAGGAGAGTTCCTCTCTCTCCGAATATTACGTCCCATAGTGAGGAACTTGAATATACACCGATCAGTCATAACATTATGACACCTAATACTGAGTAGGTCTCCTTTTTGCCACCAAAACAGTCCTGACCCATCAAGGCATGGACTCCACTAGGCTAAGCATCAGACTGCCTCCACCGGCTTGCCTTCTTCCAGTAGTGCATCCTAATGCCATCTCTTCCCCAGGTAAGCAATGCACATGCACCCAGCCATCCACACGATGTAAAAGAAAACATGATTCATCAGACCAGGCCACCTTCTTCCATTGCTCCGTGGTCCAGTTCTGCCCATTGTAGGTGCTTATGGCTGTGGATACAGGTCAGCATGAATACACTGATCGGTCTGTGGCTATGCACCCCTATACGCAAATAACTGCGTTGCGCTGTGTGGTCTGACACCGTTCTATCAGAACCAGCATTATCTTTTTCAGCAATCTGAGCTATAGTAGTTTTTCTATTGGATTGGACTACATGGGCCAGTCTTCTCTCCCCATGTTCTTCAGGGAGCCTTAACCATCCATGACCCTATTGTTGGTTCTTCCTTGGACCACTTTTCGTAGGTCCTGACCCCTGCAGACAGGAAAAATCCCACAAGAGCTGCAGTTGTGGAGTTGCACTCACCCAGTCAGAGGGGCAGAACCAGCTTTCTCTCTCCTCTCCTGTCTGTGGTGTGCGGGGAACTGTCAGCACTGGGGACAGAATATGCTGACAGATGCTCCACAGCGCTGAAGGGAGAGGGGAACCTGGCAGCAGATGAGGGGGCGCAGGGGGAGTACACAGGAGCCCAGGGCATCAGGAGATGGATAGGAGGGGCAACCGGGTGGCAAATAGAGGAACTGAGAAATGCATGGCCCAGCCGCCCATCCTATCCAGGCATCCCCGGCCCACTAGGCAAATGCCCTATGGCCAGTCTGGGCCTGCGTTCAGGAATTTATCAATAAATACAAAGCTTCCTCTGATTGGCTAATGTGGAGAGGTTAGCAGAAGACTTCATAATTTCCACCTCAGCCAATCAGAGAAAACCTTGTACTCACTGATATAAGTGCAAAGCTTCCTCTGAATGGCTACAAAAACTCAATTTTGTTCCAGCAACAGATGAGAAGATGTCCATACTGCTGGAACACAGCGCTACATACTGTATGTAGCTGACATTATTATAGTATGATAGAATGCTCAAAGCCGCAGAATAAATTAAGCTGCCAATAGATGAGTAGTAAACAAACAGGTTCCTTCACCTAAACAACTTGTCCAATCGACTTCTGTTGAACAGGGATGACCACACACTGATCGAAATTCATCCGGTCCCTGCTGAACCAGACAAATTTCGATTCATCTATGGCCAGCTTTAGTAATGGAAATGGTTGACTTGTTTGGGTCAGCTTGGCCAGTTTTATATCTATACACAAATGTTTTTCTTTTCATTTCTATTTTAAACTAAATGGGTTGTTTTACCAGCTGAAGGTTTACATATACTTTAAACTCTTTGCTGTCTAGCTGCATCATATGCGTCATAAACAGTAGCAAAAACTGAAATAAAACTAGATGTATGTTGTAAACCATAAACTCTTCCAGCAGATCCAGTAAAAAAAAAAAAAATGTGCTTCTTGAACTTGAAAAATCTTAAAATCTGCAAATTCTCCTCGCTGCCTGCCCCCAAAGTCAGCATAGAGTGTTTTCTAATATTTAATTGTTTTATGGCAGCTCATCAATCTACTCCAACCTACAAGTATTTTAACAAGCTGATCTCATAAATCACAAAGACAAAAGAGAAGCACAAATTTTCCCAGCGGGCAGTAAATAAAGCCATACATGGTACAATTGGCTTCTAACAGAACCGGATGTTTGCATGGTACTGTGCCCATACAGCCCGGGCTGTAAGCAGAAGAGGTGCTCTCCATCCTCTGGATGTAATGAAGGTTTATCAGACAGGAAGCAGCTGCTAGCAGCATCTGCCTGCAAGGCACAGAGGCACAGAAAAGAGGGTCCTGGGTCCATCCGGAGGGGGAATGCTGCTTTATGAAGAGGCCCTGACCTCTGCCAAGTCCAAAATGTGTGCCAAATGGGCCTATGCCATGAACCAGCAGCATGCTGGAAGAGCTCAACAGAGACTCTCCTGATGGCAAAATAAATACATGATTAGAATATCATTTTAAGTAAATAAGGTAAACAAGAAATACATTTTGCCCTATTTACAGTCAATTCAAATGCTTATAGATGTTTGGCTTTGAATCTGGGAAAAGAAAAAAAGAAAAAAGAAAATGATTTCAGCTTGTTCTAAGTTTATAAGTGTTCACAATTTTTTTTTTTATCAGCTTTTCTTGTTATTGTTATTGTTGTGGTATTTTAACACTTCATTTACACACAAAAACCTGTAAAAGGGTCACAAATTTAGAGGATAGAAAAACAAGAATAAAAACAGGAAAAAACAAGACTACTTTGCATCTACCAATAAAGTGATACTAAACCCAGGACCCTGAATTCACTATATCTGGTCTCCCAGGACCCTGCATTCACTATATCTGGTCTCCCAGGACCTTGCATTCACTATATCTGGTCTCCCAGGACCCTGCATTCACTATATCTGGTCTCCCAGGACCCTGCATTCACTATATCTGGTCTCCCAGGACCCTGCATTCACTATATCTGGTCTCCCCGGACCCTGCATTCACTATATCTAGTCTCCCAGGACCCTGCATTCACTATATCTGGTCTCTCACACTACACAGAACATGGAAATGCCATTAGTTTAGTAAATATAAACTGCTTAATACCTTTTCTCAACAGTATCAACAGTATATAGCAGTCTTGTGACCTCTATCAGTGTCCTGCCGAGGACTGGTTAAAGCTTGTAGGAGGAGTCTTCATTCTGCTCTGACTGTCCTATGAGGCTGCATGACCTCTGACCCTCTGTCTGGACCGTGTTGATTGACCCTGTGCTGATCACATGCACTCTCCCAAGAAAAAAAAACGCTCCAGCAACACATACTAAACTGAGCATGTGCAGAGTGACTCCTAGAGCTCTGTACTATCAGCAGATGGGGACAGTAGAAGAAGGGGGGGGGGGGAATTCGAGAAGACAAGATCAAGCAGCCTTTTTACACTATGCAGAGGATTAACCCCTCAGGTTTCACAGTGAGCATAACCAGCATGCTTTACTGCTTATACAGACTGATTTTACTCTTGTGGGTTTAGTAACACTTTAAAAGCTGAGGTAATTATGTTGTGTTCATAAGCAGCTTGACAAAGAGCATGGTATGCTTGAAACTGTTGTTGTTACTGCATGGGCGTATCTGCTGTTTTATTTATTTATTTCAGGTACTTATATAGCGCCGTCAATTTACACAGCAATTACTACATATATATTGTACGTTCACATCATGACTATTGCACCAGAGATAGGCTCGTCCACTTCCCCATTACCACCATTACCGTTCCGCACCAACCCCCTTCCCCTTAACCAATTATACTAACAAAAGACATAACACCAATTTTGGAGTAAATGGCCAACATGGCCTTTTATTAACAACTCAAGTTACAATACACCAACCATTCCTTATAACAGAAACCCACAGAATTGTTGTTGGTCTTCGAAGGCACCCCAAAACGATCCGAAATGCACCTGCGGACAACCATATACACTAGGCCTCCAGCCGCAACCAACCAGCTCAGAGACAACCATACCGTCCGCAGTGCAGCACCACCACCTTCCAGTTAAACCTTGGTTAACTGGGAATGTCCCCGGGCATCCCATACCACGGATGGGTCCCACACCATTGTTGTTTACCTTCCAAATAAGAACCGCCTCCAAAGACCAACAACCGCCCATGAACCAACATAATCCCCCCCTCTACCTGGAGGGACCCAAAACTCACCCAAACAGGGAGGGTGGGAGGAAAGCTCACACTCTTGCCGTCCAGCTAACTGACGCCCCCTCACAGAACCTCCCACCCTAAGGTGCAGCAAAACCCCACCTACACCAACCTCTACCAATCAGCTACCCCCCCACTAACAATAACAAATCCTCTTGGAGCTACCTTAACCCTTTCTGCTCTTCCTTCCCCCACTCTGGGCCTAGTCATGTATGCCCTGCGCTATTTCTTCTTTATTTTGCTACGGGCATTTCTTGACTATTGCACCAGAGATAGGCTCGTCCACTTCCCCATTACCACCATTACCGTTCCGCACCAACCCCCTTCCCCTTAACCAATTATACTAACAAAAGACATAACACCAATTTTGGAGTAAATGGCCAACATGGCCTTTTATTAACAACTCAAGTTACAATACACCAACCATTCCTTATAACAGAAACCCACAGAATTGTTGTTGGTCTTCGAAGGCACCCCAAAACGATCCGAAATGCACCTGCGGACAACCATATACACTAGGCCTCCAGCCGCAACCAACCAGCTCGGAGACAACCATACCGTCCGCAGTGCAGCACCACCACCTTCCAGTTAAACCTTGGTTAACTGGGAATGTCCCCAGGCATCTCATACCACGGATGGGTCCCACACCATTGTTGTTTACCTTCCAAATAAGAACCGCCTCCAAAGACCAACAACCGCCACAGCACGCAGGGTAAGCCCTTACCCATGCGTGCCATGCCACAAACGAACAGCCCGCTGTATGCCATCCTGCAGATCCAGGGACCATAAATCCGTCCCAACCGCATTCAAATGCACCCCATCGCACCAGAGATACCACCAAGTATCCACCTCCAACTCCAAGTGCCAGACCACCAACCCCCCATGGTGACTAAAGAAACGCCCCACCTCTCTGTTAACCTTGTTTCGAGCCTTGTTGAGCCTCTCCACCGACCGCGCCCAACGCCAAGAGGTACGGGCGACAATGTCGGACCACACCACCACCATCCCCGGATAAGCCCGCCGCAACTGAAGAAAGTCCAGCTTGACATCTCGCACCAGCTCCCGCTCAGCGTGCCTGAAAAAACACCCCTACCCCACTGGACGACAGGACAAAAATTCCTGAACCGCCCACACAATGGGCACACCAGCGAAGCCGGAAGAACGAAAAAAACGCACCCGACCACCACGTCCCAATTGGTCCGTCTTAGACCGACGTACCAGCACCTCCACCCATTCACCGGAGCACCTGACCTCATCCACCAATAACCCCCCAAGAACCGATTTGGACGGACTAACGAGCTCCCCAATACACAACGCCCCAAAAAAGGCCACCGCAAAAGCTCCCCGAAATAAGCACACCTCAAAGTCCGAAGAACACACAGACCACAAATGCACAAACAAAGACCCCAACAACTCAAAAGACACCGGACGACGAGAATCCTTACAGCGATGAGCGCTCCGGTAACCCCAGAGAGCCTGCCGAACCCAAAAAATCTTCAGTGAAATCCCGACACCCTTGCAACTTAAAGAAGAATGCCAAACCCGCCAGTAGGCGATCCACCGCAGCAGCCGACACCCCCCGCTCAAAATTCCGCGCCACAAAGTACAATACCGCCAAAACCACCTCCGGCCCCCAGGGATCAATCTCAACCCGCGGTAGCAAATCCAGCCACTCCCGCCAGACCCTAGAGTATGCAGACCAAGTCGCCTCACTCACCGAACGCCGGATCCAGCCCGCAAGGACTCCAAGGCAATCTCCCATAGCCCGTCGGGACAAGGAACCCCGTGTTGCTCTGCCGCAAGCGCCACCTCTCGGAATTTGTCCCACTGAAAGCGAGACAAAGCGTCAGCCACGGTGTGTTATCAACCCCAGGGAGACGCACCGCATGGAGAAAAACATTCAGACGCAGACAACGCAACACTAAATGGCAAAGCAAGGCCACCACCGGTCGTGAAGAAGCTGAGACCCGATTGATGACCTGAACCACCCCCAAATTGTCACAGTGACAACGCACGTTTAGATTTCGAAAATTCTCTCCCCAAACCTCAACCGCCAACACCACCGGAAAAAGTTCCAACAACACCAAGTTGCGAAGAAAACCCGCCTCCCGCCAGGAAGCAGGCCACGAGGCCGCACTCCATCGACCCTGGAAAAAGCCCCATAGCCCGCCGACGCCGCCGCGTCCCTGAACCATTCCAAGTCAAAATTGCTAACAGGGCCAGACATCCAGAGAGCCCGCCCATTAAACGAATCCAAAAAGGTGTGCCACAAATGCAAGTCCTCCCGATGATCCCGAGTCAACCGAATAAAATGTAAAGGGGAGGTAATCCCTGCCGTCGCCGCCGCCAACCGGCGGCAGAACACCCGACCCATGGGCAGAATCCGACAAGCGAAGTTAAGTTTTGCCCAACAACGACTGTAAGGCCCGCAGCTGAATTTTTCGCTTGCCCCAGCACCCCACGTAGTTCCCCTTGTAGAGCCACCAGCTTAACCTCAGGCAAGCGGCACTCCATCGTGCCTGAATCCAAAACAATGCCCAATAAAGTCATCACCGTAGCCGGGCCCACAGTCTTATCCACCGCCAGAGGAATCCCGAAACGTTCCGCCACGTGTTGCAAAGTGGCCAGCAAAACTGCACATACTCCGGAATCTTGCGGACCCACGCAAAGAAAATCATCCAAATATTGGATGACCGAATTCACCCCTGAGACATCCCGCACCACCCACTCCACGAATGAACTGAACTTCTCGAACAAAGCGCAAGATATAGAACACCCCATAGGAAGGCACTTATCAACGTAAAAATAGCCCTGCAAATGACAACCCAAAAAACGAAAACTGTCCGGATGGACTGGCAACAGCCGAAACGCCGACTCAACGTCCGATTTCGCCATGAGCGCACCGCGCCCATACCGACGGACCCAGAAAACAGCCGCATCAAAAGACGTGTAAGACACCGAACACGACTCCGAATCAATAGCATCATTCACCGACCCCCCCTTAGGGAAGGACAGGTGGTGAATTAACCTAAACGCATTCGGCTCCTTCTTGGGCACAACCCCCAAGGGAGAAACAACCAAATCCGAAAACGGAGCGCAAGCAAACGGACCCCCCATGCGTCCCAACCCCACTTCCTTCCTTACGCAACGTAGCCGAAACCCCCTCCTCATGCCGCAAGGCTGACCGCAAATTCCGAGCTAAGGGAGGAATCAAAGTCAAAGTACACGGGATGCGAAAACCCTCTGAAAAAAACCCACCGTCAGCAGCACTGCAGCTGCCTGATCAGGATACCTCTTTAAGAAAGGCTCCATCCTTTCCACTCGCACCGGAGTCATCCCTCTTACCAGCATGCTCTCTGGGAAGGCCTCGACCCCGCTGGAAACAGCGCGACAAGGGATGGGAGCCCCCGCACCCGGAACATTCGTGCCTAAAACGGCAAGACCCACCAAATCGACATGTCCCCTCTTGGAACTGCCAGCAGAACCCCTGACGCCTGGAGGCCGATTGTCCCGGGGAGAACGAACCGCCGGCCCCACTCTGAAAAAAAACGAACCAGGGGCCCTCACCGGTGTCATGAGTCGCATCCAGAGGCCAATGTCCTTATGATCCCAACGCAACGACTGGCGAACCGCCCTCCGCTGCCTAAACTGCTCATCGTACCGAAGCCACGCAGTACCCCCATAAACCCTGTGAGCCTCACCAATGGCATCAAGGTAACAGAACAGTGCCGAGCAATGTTCAGGAGCCTCCTCCCCAATCACACTAGCCATGATCGCGAACGCCTGCAACCAATTTGTAAAGGTACGCGGGATAAAACGAAAACGCCGCGCCGCTTCCACCCGCCTACTCTCGTCAACCCGGGACCCTTCAAAAGGAAAATGCTCCAAAGGCAAGAGTGAGAATATATCAACGTACTCCCCACTCCAAATCTTCTCCTGTACCTCCGACTGTAAGTGCGCACCCAAAGGGCCCTCAAAACACACGTACACTTCGCCCCTGGCCGAGTCCGCCAAGCCGACAGGCCCGGACACCCTCGAATCCGCACCCAACACCGCGGAGGGGGCCGCAGAACCCCAATCACCTGTCGTGGCCGGAACAACCCCTAGCCCAGACCCCGGAGGAGAAGAGACCCCCGGACGCCGCACGTCCCCGCTGTCCTGTACAA